AAAAAACCCCTTGTCTCTTTTTCCTTTTTTTTTTTTTTTTTTTTTTTTTTTTTTTTTTTTTACAGATATTGGTACAAGGGTTTTTCACATGTTTCCAGGCTTGAGCCTTTTTGTTTAATCCAGTGGAAAGCTAGTTTTTCTGAGGAGACGAATGTTAGGTGCGAAAAACACGTCCATTTTTCAGATGCTCCTAATGAAGTCTATGAGGCCAAAACATGCGATTCTGCCTAAAACAACTCTTATTTTGTATGCAATGTGGTGCTCAGATGTGGATGGGCACCATTGCATATAATGGGAGCCTTCATTTTGATTGTTGCTGCACTTCAGCAAAGAAATGGCTCAGGTGTGAATGGGAGCTTCAATTCATAAAAAGTTATAAGTCAATGACATACATCGGAGAATGAATGCACAGACCTTGTTTCCAGGATCCTTAAGGTGGCCATACACTCTACAACCATCGCAAGACTTTAGTCTTGCGATGGTTGTAAAGGGATTAAAAAAACGTACGATCTGCCTATCTTGGACAGGCAGATCGCACTCTCGATCATCGCAAGCCCGCCCCCCTGAGGGGCGGGCTTCCGATGACCGCAATGCTGAACGGGCAGTGTGCGCGTGCGCACACCGGCCCGTTCAGCATTTATCTTCCGAGCACCGTTCTAACCAGCCGAGAATCGTACGATTCCCGGCTGGTTTTCGAACATGCTGGTTCGACAGAAGACGTGCGACCGTACAGTAGAAACGGTCGCACGTCTCCGTTCACACTGCTCGATTATCGTACGAAAACCCGATCGCATACGATTATCGTACGATAATCGTGCAGTGTATGGGCACCTTTAGAGAAAACACTGACTTAGGTTGTGTGTTTAAATGGAACTTCAGTCAAACCTTCTTTTTGAAAAACATTTTTATGGTGTGTGTGAGGGAGTAGAACCTCTGTTAATGTTTATTGATGTGTCTGCATTGTACAGATATCCTATCACTTCCTTTCCTCAGAGAGACCCCCAAGAGAGGATATGAGACAAAATATCTTTGAAATGATTGTATATCACATCCTCTTTTGTGACTCTGCACCTGCAATAGGCACACAGAAATAACAAGTGGCTGGAGGTTCTAGCTTTCCACGTACTGAAAAAAAGTTTTCTTTGTCTGTGTCACTGTTGGAGATTTTACCTCACTTCCTGTCTGGTGAAACCATTTGTCACCAGAAGAATAAAGTGAGGGAAAGTCTCTGCAACAGATCCTTGGATATCAGTAAAAGGCCATCAAGGCTTCTAATCCTACCTACGATAGGGAAAATCAGTCTCTTTTGACTGAATAAAGGGACTAACTCCTTTCCAAGAATGTCTTGTGTTTTGAGTAAATATCATAAATATGTAGCAGATCATATGGCAGCTGCTTTCAACCTTTGTCATTATGTTATTTAGGCTGTAGTTATGTTATGATGGCTCCATATGTTTGTATTGGGCCTGCTGATTGTTCGTGCAGTAGCCATATGGAGGCCTGTTGCAGGCAACTAGTATTTTCAGAAAGAGGTCAGAAGAGGCAGCTATAGAGGTTTCCTTTTAATACAAATTCATAAAGCTTGTATTATGTGAGTGCACTAAATATTCTGCAGTATATGATTTATTTGATGACTTTATTTGTTCATCTGGTCACTGTATGTAAAAGCAAGTTTTTTTTTATCTTGTAATATAGGAAGAAAATGCTTTCTTTGTGATGACCAATCTAATTCTGACACAGAATCAAAGCCAAGCCTACTGCCCTGAGGTGAGCCCAGCTGGTAGATACATCATGTTTATTCCACCTGAGTATGGGATTGGTGATATTTGTACTGAAATAGCTTACTCTGATTTTTATTGCACACTGTGAGCTTCTCGGTGTGCGCATTAGAAGCTGCGGTATGTCAGATAGAGCTTTAGAGCATTTCCTGGTTGGAGGATGTTCAGCATCATCTAACCCAGGGGTGGGCAACCCCAGCCCTCCAGCTGTGCTTTACCTACAAATCCCAACATGCCTCTGCCTCTGGAAGTCATGCCTGTAACTGCCAGTCTTGCAATGCCTCCTGGGTCCCGTAGTTTTACAACAGCTGGAGCGCTAGGGTTTCCCACCCCTGATCTAGCCCTTTTCTCTCCTGTCTTACTGCCCCTTTATTTTCTTTGCTTCTCAGCTCCTTTTTAGTGGCCAAAATGCAGTACTGCATTACATACATTTGACCTGAAAACAAAATACTTCCCACCTCTATCTAGTGGCCAAAATGCAGTATTACATTAGATTCATTCCACCTGAAAAGAAACCATACCTAAGAATGTTCATTTTTGCATCAATAGACCCCATTGTGTCCATTTTTTAATTAGTATTGTGTGTATTGTGTGTGGTTTGTGTTGACCACGTTAACTCTATCCACAAATGAAGTGATATTGCCACTTAGACAAAGGCTGGGTATTGGTACATGTTTATAACTGTCACTGAGGCAACCAACTCTCCTTGATCGTATCTCCATGGTTTTAGGACCCAATGCGATATGCTTTCTGACTTGGCGGGAGAGTTAAAACACTAGACAGAAGAGTTTTTCACAGTATTGCAAAATCTGTGTATGGAACATAGTGATGCCTTAACACACTTGGAAAATCTTGTTCTTGAACACTATAAATCAACCGGCAAATCTCAGTTGTAACAAGGGATGCCGGAATCTGATGATCACCTACAAGGATTAGGTACTGAGTTTAAATTGAGGGTCTATAAATCCCATATAAATCCGTGGTCTATAGTGATCTAGATACCAACAAGGATTAGGCCATATGTGGGTACTCTCTGAGAGCAATATCTAGTCTAGCCACATGCTTAAAATGGCCATGCTCATTAGGAGATCTGAAGGCCTGATTTAGGCTTATGCAACATTCACTCTGAAAATATAATTTTATTTTTGGAAGATTTATATTTGTTTTTGAGATCATGGGGGAAGTGTTAGAACTTCTTACAGGTTTTTATTGCCGTCAGTGTCCTTATCGGGGAGGCTTTAATCATTAACACCAGCAAAGGAGGTTACAGGGAAATGTCTCAGGGGAGATCTGTTCTACTATTGTTGTACAAACCCAGTGTCTGCTAACGGAATATCATTGCAGAACCCGGAAATACCATGTTGACTGTCAAGTTCCTAAGTGCTTGTTAAACAAAAGTCCCCAAGGCCTCAAGCCTTCTATTCATTCCCTTCTTTGTTTTAAGGTGTTATTTCCACCTTTGCAGCCAAATTTTGAGAAACATCACTATATGTTTTATGTCTTCCCATTCGCACAACATACCTAAAATAAAATCTTAAAACTATTTCTTACCTTTTTCTGGTTGTTTCTTTTGGAGCAGGATTATACATGGGATACTACAGGAGGTTTTTATTGCATAGTGCAGTTGGCAATGTGCAGATAAAGGACAAATGTTGTGGACAGTTTTTTTTTTTTTCCATTGTTTGTTAAGGCCATTAACATACAATGTACCACCCATGCTTTGAGATCTTTAATTATTTGTTAGGACAGACATTGATGCTCAACTGATAATGGACCCAGTAGCCTCCTTGACATTATATCGAATGGGAAAACTTTAGTATGGAGTTTTCAGAAAAGAGCAAATACAATTTTACGCAGCATTTTTTATATACATATTTTTTTTTTTTCCAATTCTGCAATGTAAATTGAAAACATGCAAGAATAATAAAGTAGGTGTTATCCCAATGTGGCTGCAAAAGTTGAAATACGTTTTTAAAATGACAGCAAAGTTTTCCTGGTTACATTTGTTACATTGTCTGTGGTTGACTTTTTCTGAGTGTGTGACCCCCGCAATAAATAATACAGCTTTGTAGTTGTTTACATTCTGGGACAGTTTCTCTAATAAATTTGCCCCCTCAGAAGAAATTCATCAAAATCTGGATTTTCCTGGGTTCAGCAGAAATTTCAGGGCTCATTTGGGTTCTTCATATGATTCCCTGTGGCGCCTGTGGCGACCCACAACGCCCAGTTGTCTGAATGTGAATTTGCTGCACCTTGGCAAGTCTTTCTCTGGATTCAGATATTAGCTAAAATCTTCACTTGCACATCTTAGCATTTTTGTCCGTCAGTCTTTAATAATTAGTGCTCTGTACAAGAAGCAAATACAGTTGGGTGGTGGAACGTACAGTAGAAACGGTCGCACGCCTTCCATACACTGCACGATTCTCGTACGATCGCGGGATTTCCCGCGATTCTCGTACTAGAATCGTGCAGTGTATGGGCACCTTTAGAGAGATTTATCCTCACTTCCTGTCCCGCTGACAAAGGTTTACCAGACAGGAAGTGGGAGGGACTATCTAACAGCAATGCAAATAAATAAAAATGAATAAAATAAAATGTTTTTCCTCTACAAAGTATGGGATGAATGGAACCCCTGTCAGATCTTTATTTCTGTCTGCATCCCTGTTGCACATTTTTCTCTCACGTCCTATCTGGTGAAGCTGTTGGTGAAACAGATCCCTGGATAGCAGTGTAAACAAGGCAGGAAATCTTATCCTTCCCCACTACATCCAAAACTAGAAAAAAAACGTTTTTGGCTTGAGATATACTTTAACACCCCATTCACACTTGCGAATGGGGCCAATCACATGAGTCTCACAAATCCCTCCATGAGTCTCATGCGATCTGCTGTGGGGGCGGAAGTCATTGTATTATCTTATGAGAGCTGTCACCGCCCCTGGCTATTTGCAGGCCATTCACATGTAATCCTAACTGATGTGATTACCTGCAGATGCAAAAGAGGCCACATTCAAGTGCACCTGCAGGTAATTGCAGCCTTAGTGATTACATGTGAATGGCCTGCGAACAGTTGCGGGCGGTGGCAGCTGTCATTGTATTGTACAGTGAAGGTGAACGGGGCCTAAGATTTGACTTTGTGAGAACCTATGATTTTTGTTCTTTTTCAGCTCCCAGATACCACAACAATATGCAATTCCAGTCATAAATGTATCCCAGGTCATATTGGCATTTACAGCAATGGTACGGTTTATAATTATTACTATTTACTTTTTTAACATCACATTTCATAGTGTCTGCCTGTGTTGACTGGATGTCTTGTTTAAGGCATCATGAACTGGGAGAAATACAGAGGCTGCCAATGTTGTCCTTCTGAATTTACTGGGGGTTTGTCCCAGGTTAATGACTCAAAGTGGAAAGACCAGAAATATCAGGAAACTATCATTTTCAGAAGGAAATGACAACTCCAGAAGCTGAGCTCAAGGCAAACAACTAAATACTAAGTTGAAATAAAGATAAGACCTTGCACAGGAGTTGTAATTTTATTTAGACAGTGGTGTTATTCAGACACATGCCAGGTAGTGGAGCTAGATCCCTGACCTTCAATGCAGCAGCACAGCTTGGTCAGAAGCACACCCTCAGCCTGCTGATTAGTCAATGAAGGGCATTCAGGCCCTGATGAGGTTATCCCTTTGCTCACTGTTTGCTTTTTTTTTCCCATCATGTTCACTATAGGCATATGTAAGCTTCAGCAGAGTCTGATTATCTCCCAGTGCTGACCTTTCCTCTCCCAGTCTGAGAGCTGCTAAACAAGGGATTACAGGAATCTGATATTGAGGCAAACATTAGGCACTTACACTTGTTGCATTTAATCCAATGAATGATGTTTACTGATTGCATAACTGTATTAATACTTTTTTTTTAATTCTTTTATATCTACTTGGAGCTTTATACACTGGAATTTCTTTTACTTTTCACTGCAGGTTTACAGACTGGAAAGTGTGTACCATACAACAAGACCGTTAACACATGTGAAGTTTTTGCCTGGTGCCCAGTGGAAAATGACACAGAGGTGCCGACGTGAGTGACTTGTTGTTGGCACCGATAATACTTCTTTCCCTTATTTATCATTTTTATTCTGTACCGTTTACACATTTGTGTGTTTGAGTTGTACATCCATGTCTCGTTTCAGACCAGCTTTTCTAAAAGACGCTGAAAACTTCACAGTTCTGATAAAAAATAATATCTGGTACCCGAAATTTAAATTCTCCAAGTAAGTGTGAAATATATGGCTGTATAAATTAACACATTTATAGAAGATCTATCAAATAATTAAAAAACAGAACCCAGTGGGAGAAGTGTCCACACACAGGAGCAAATCTTCTGTCTGCTTTTTAAAATAAGGTTGTTTTTTTTCAATCCTCCAATAGCAAAGGTTGTCAAGTTAATACGTTTTGCGTATGTGCTTTAACTTTTTAAACTTGATGCTTAAATATGTATTTGATTTATCCTATATTCTATTATTATTATTTATCCCCAGGCGAAACATATTACCAAATATCAGCACTGATTACCTCAAAAGCTGCCAGTACAATCGTGTGACGAACCCGTTTTGCCCTATATTCCGGCTGGGTAGCATAGTGGAAGAGTCTGGGGAATCCTTCCAAGATATGGCTATACAGGTGTGTGGTTGGGTAAATGGCATTATAAACAAATACATTATTTATACACACACACAAAAAAAATGTTGGCCCCCTTCCTGATTTTTCATTGTTTTGCACGTTTGTCACACGTTAATGTTTCAGATCATCAAACAAATTTAAATATAAGTCAAAGATAACACAAGTAAACACAGTATGCAGTTTTTAAAGGAAGGTTTTTATTAAGGGAAAACAAAATCCAAACCCACATGGCCCTGTGTGAAAAAGTGTTTGCCCCCTAAACCTAATCGCTGGTTGGGCCACCCTTAGCAGCAAGAACTGCAATCAAGCGCTTGCGATAACTTGCAATGAGTCTGTTACAGAGCTGTGCAGGAATTTTGGTCCACTCATCTTTGCAGAATTGTTGTAATTCAGCCACACTGGAAGGTTTTCGAGCATGAACCGCCTTTTTAAGGTCATGCCACAACATCTCAATAGGATTCAGGTCAGGACTTTGACCAGGCCACTCCAAAGTCTTCATTTTGTTTTTCTTCAGCCATTCAGAGGTGGACTTGCTGGTGTGTTTTGGATCATTGTCTTGCTGCAGAACCCAAGTTCGCTTCAGCTTGAGGTCACGAAAAGATGGCCGCACATTATCGTTCAGGATTTTTTGGTAGGCAGCAGAATTAATGGTTCCATTTATCACAGCAAGTCTTCCAGGTCCTGAAGCAGCAAAACAGCCCCAGACCATCACACTACCACCACCATATTTTACTGTTGGTATGATGTTCTTTTCCTGAAATGCGGTGTTACTCTTACGCCAGATGTAATGGGACACACACCTTCCAAAAAGTTCAACTTTTGTCTCGTCAGTCCACAGAGTATTTTCCCAAAAGTCTTGGGGATCATCAATATGTTTTCTGGCATAACGGAGACGAGCTTTTATGTTCTTTTTGCTCAGCAGCGGTTTTCGTCTTGAAACTCTTCCATGCAGGCCATTTTTGCCCAGCCTCTTTATTATGGTGGAGTCATGAACACTGACCTGAACTGAGGCAAGTGAGGCCTGCAGTTCTTTGGATGTTGTTGTGGGGTCTTTTGTGACCTCTTGGATGAGTCGTCACTGCGCTCTTGGGGTCATTTTGGTTGGCCGCCCACTCCTGTGAAGGTTCACCACTGTTCCATGTTTTTGCCATTTGTGGATAATGGCTCTCACTGTGGTTCGCTGGAGTCCCAAAGCTTTAGAAATGGCTTCATAACCCTTTCCAGACTGATAGATCTAAATGACTTTCTTTCTCATTTGTTCCTGGATTTCTCTGGATCTCGGCATGATGTGTAGCTTTTGAGGATCTTTTGGTCTACTTCACTTTGTCAGTCAAGTCTTATTTAAGTGATTTCTTGATTGCGAACAGGTGTATAAAATCAAGCACCTAGGCATGCAGACTGCTTCTACAAACACTTGTGAAAAGATGGGACGCTCTCAGGAGCTCAGTGAATTCAAGCGTGGTACCCTGATAGGTTGCCACATGTGCAATAAGTGGCAGTAATCAGGCCTGGGTGTGGCTAGAGAAATTGAGTTTACTGGTGTTATCTTCGACTAATATTTAAATGTTTGATGATCTGAAACATTAAAGTGTGACAAACATGCAAAACAATGAAAAATCAGGAAGGGGGCCAACACTTTTTCACACAACTGTATGTGTGTATGTATGTATGTATATATATATATATATATATATATATAATATATATATATATT